TTTTTCCTTCCTGCCCCCTTTTCCCCTCCCTGCCTCCCTCCCTCATTCTTTTCCTTCCTTCCTTCCCTCCCTCCCCCCTTCCTTCTTTCCTATCTTGCAATTCTTCCATCTTAGTAGAATCCCCTTCCTGTCCTTGACCTCTTTCCCAAGTCAAGCTTTCCTGGAGTGGATTCCTTTCTTCCTGAGGACCCCTCTCTTAGCCTTGTGCCCCGGGATGGCCCAGGGTTCCCTGAGTGTGGCTGTGTGGTTCCTGCGCCTCTCTGAAACCTTGCTTCACAGTTCTCTCAGCATCCAAAACCACTCTATTTGCTCTGCAGTTGTCTTCCTTGGAGTTCCTCCAAAAGCAGGACCTGAGACAAGGGTTCTGGTGCAGGAGGTAGATTTGGGAGGTGACCTGGGGAGGCAAGAGTGAAGAGCGGGGAGAGTGAGACGCGGAAGGAGGAAAAGCCACCAAGAGCGCTTTAGTGATGGGGTGACTGGTGTGGGCACCTGGGCTGGCCCCCACCTCCACTGGTTGGGACTTGCTTCTCCGGGGTCTTCACTCTCCCTCACTTTTGGGCTGACCCGTGTGGGCTGAGAGCGCTCCCTAAGGCTTCAGCGTGGAGTGGTGCGGGAGTGGTGTGCAGGGCTCAGCTGCACTGACCTCAGAGGTGGGCCGAGGGCATCAGACACGTCTGCTACCTCAATCCTCATTCCTTTTGCTTCTCTGACTCATTAATACTAATAACGACAACATAATTTATCGAGTGCTTTTTGTATCAGTCACTGGTTTATAGCTTCCCAACCATTTTACCACCTAATCTTCTACAAACACCTATGCGGACCGTGCTCTTATACTCTCATTGTACAGATAATTCACTGAGGCTGAGAGAGGTTAAGTTGCTTAACCTCAGCCTTAACCCTGACGGTTAAGCACCCCACTGGTGAGCTTAACCCAGGTGGATTTGTGAGGTCAGGCTTCACCAGACTCAGGTCCTGCTGTTAAAGCCTGCAATCAGTTTCTGTAAATTCCTTTTGGAAAAATAGGGTGTCATGTTTTGGCTGTGTGTTGTTGTGCAGAAAGCTGCTGGGACGGGTCTTCAGAAACGTCCGCCTGGGTTGATCTGAGGTTTTTCTCACTAGACTTAGCCGAAGTCTTGCCTTTGGAGGCTGAACGTGACCAGAAGCTGCCCCAAGACTCTGCCAGGTGCTTGGCAGTTGTGAGCTGCTGCCTCAGGGGAGCACGACAGGATGCCTGAGGAGGGAAAAGGATCTGGAAGTACAGCTTGAAAAACACACCCTTCCACTCTGACCCTGGGAGTCACCTCACAGAGGAGCGAATGGCACCTCTGCCCGAGACCGTGCTACTGGGGGCTGCTTTCCCAAGCCGGCAGGTGGAGGTGGGCGGGGGCTTCTCAGGCTGTGTCTGCTCAGAAATGAGAGGGCTCAGACGGTGCCAGTCCCTGTCCCGCACCTCAGGCGGGCAGGGACTGGGGTGGATCATGGCATCAGCACCTTCCAGGTCCCTGGGGATGACTGAAAGGAAAATGTTGTAAGAGATGGACCGTGGCCTGGACTTCTCAGAAACATGGGCCAAAAAATTCTCTCTTTGCTATTTAAGTTGGTTTGCCTTGGGTTTCTGGCCTGGAGAAGCCAGACACTTCCCCCCAAAGCTGCCAAGTGACCCACTTAGGCTGCTCTGGCCACATCTGACTGCCCCCCTTCTGCAGTCTCCCCTCTGTCAGGAGCTTGATCTCCCTGCCCCTCCCCACCCAGGAAAGGATGGGCAGCTGTCCTCTTCACTGGAGGTGAATTTGCACCCGTTTGCTCCCTGGTCCCAGATCACTGACATTTAAAGCCTGCTGCTAATTGTGATGTGACAAGAAGGAGATTCACTTAAATCTACTCTAAGCCAGGCACTGCTAGGTCATTATCTCATTAAACTCTCTAGAGCCATGAGCAATTTTTTTGTGTGTGTGGGGGAAGGGGGCCCTTGAAATCACACATGGAAGTGACTGCCTTCGATGGGCCAGCCCCCTGGGTCCTCTCTGGGGCTTGGGTTGAAACTCTCAGGTCCAAACTGCACCACGGAGGTGAGTGGCTGTGTTCTGTGCCCTCGACCGGAAAAGTCCTGTCTTTTTGAGTCTGTGCACCTGGTCTGTTATTGGGTTGCATGTTTTTTGTTTGTGGTTTTGTTGTGGTTGTTCTTTTTTAGTTTTTGTTTTTTAAATAATGTGGTGCTTGGTTTTTCTCAAGGATGATTTGTAGACTGGTGCAGAATGTGCTCTGAGCTTTTGGGGAATCCTTTAGCCTGAATAACTGGCGGCCTGCTATGGCCAAGCCGGGGCAGAGCTGACCCCAGGGATGGACGGGGGCCAGCCAGGCGGTGCCCTGTCACACACAAGCAGCTCTTCCGAAGCCCCTCCAAGACAGGCGACAGCAAACAAAGACGGAGGGGCAAAGGAAATTTATTTGGACTTTTTGGAACAAAAAAATTGTTTTATGTTACAGAAAAACACAATCATTTACATTTTGGAAGCTTCACACTCTGGGAATGAGCCCTAGTGCCAGGTTTTGTGAGCAAAAGGCTTAAAACATCCCAGCCTGACTGGGTGGCTGTAATTATCAGGACTTATTTTCCAGAGCAGGTCTGACTCTGTCCATCACATGAGTCTCACTCTAGAACTTTTGACTCTTTCAGTAGCAAACATCTTTACCCCTGAAGTCCTCTTCAACATGACCCTTCCCCTCCCATCTTTCCATTCTCTGCCTTCCTTTGTAACTGGCTAATTACCCTGTCACCTTGGTGTCTCAGCACCAAAGCTTCAATAAAACAGCCTCCTCCCTCCAGGCAATTCACTTCCCTCACCTCCTGCAAAATCGGCCTCGGAACTCCTCTCTTCCAGCAAGCACTCCAGTTCTCCCTGCCCAACCCTGTTTGTATCTCCAGAGACCATTACCTGGCTCAAGGGACACGCTGGGGGGTCAGAGGACCTGGGTTCTAGTCCTGGTCCTGCCACCTGTCTGCTGTTATGGTCTTAGGTATTTTCTTACTTTTAAATTCTCAGCTATCCTGCTTCAAAGGGATGTGGCATCACAGTAATAGATGCTGACGTGCCCTGAAAAGTAAAAATGCTACCGAGTGCAAGCAGGATTAGCCTGTGGGTCCTGGGCACCTCCCTCCTCAGCTCAGCATTTCCCACCTGCTGAGGACCGCACTGTGTCTCAGCTGCTCAGTTGCCATGGTGAAACGACAGCCTTTGCACGCGGTTGAGTGGGATTTTACCATCTGGAATGGAAGGTCCCTGAGGGTAGGACTGGATTTTAATATTTATTTGGTGAGGTTCTCAGCCCATGGCACCAGTAGGGGCTGAGCACAAGCAGGAGCTCAGTCTTAAAACTGGTTGCTTAGATTCCAATTTCCTTGGACAGATCCACCTCCTGTAATGCGATGACTGCATCACAGTGACAGGATGGTGGGAAACCCAAGCCTCCTCGTTTGTTCTACTGGACATGACCTCTAGCGAGAAGGGCGCTGCTGGAGGCTGGTCCTGGGGTCCTGGGACTCACTGACCCAGTGTTGACCCAGGTCTTGGGACCATCTGCTAAAGCCCACAGACCCCCTATAGATTTCACCCTCCCACTGGAATAAAAGTCCTTCCCAAATGGATGGGTGAGCATGCAAAACTCAAATAGGGACACTACCATGTTATAAACCCAGTGTGGGATCAACCCAGACCATTCAAAGGCCCACACCAAGGACCCCTGCTCTGGGGATCACTGTCTCCAACGTGGGGTCCTCACTCCCTGATAAGCAAGACCACTCTCTAGCAGTCAGAGCAGGCCAGAGCCCACCACTGCCCCAACAATCTCCAGCTTCAGTCCCCTCACCACTCTGACCATGGGCGGCTGGCAAAACACCACAACCCTCCTGAAGGAGTCATCGCCTCTTCATGAAAACCACGAAGATGAGAAAATTACCTCACCCCACCCAGAGAGCCCATCACACAAATGTTATTCAGAAAATACATTCTGGATTCTCCCCCCTCCCACCAACACGTTCCCTACCTCCCGTTGCACACGGCTATATGTTACAATTGACAAAATTCATCTTCTTCTTTTAAAAAATAACCTGGCACGTCGAGATCCATTCAGGGCAATGCCATTGCAAACACTGTAATTTAAAGTTAGTCGCAGTAGGACTTCCCTGGTGGTGCAGTGGTTAAGAATCCACCTGCCAATGCGGAGGATACGGGTTCAAGCCCTGGTCCGGGAAGATCCCACTTGCCGCGGAGCAACTAAGCCCGTGCGCCACATCTACTGAGCCTGTGCTCTACAGGCTGTGCTCCGCAACAAGAGAAGCCACCGCAATGAGAAGCCTGCGCACGGCAACAAAGAGTAGCCCTCTCTTGCCACAACTAGAGAAAGCCCACCCGCAGCAGCGAAGACCCAACGCAGCCAAAAAAAATAAAAAAATAAAAAAAAGTCAATCACAGTAGAAACAAAGACAGTCTCTAGAAAACTGACTTGAGGACCCTCAAGTCAGTCAAAATGGGTTTGCCTTGGTCAGGCCCATTGATGGGATTGGAAACAGCACCCCAGCAGCATCCTGAGCCCTGGCTGACACCAAAGAGCCTTGAAAAGCTGGCGTTTTGCTTCAAATCCATCCAGAATAAAATGCATAATAAATAAATAAATGCTTCCAACTTGTGTTGCGTGGGAGTATCCAGCTGTGTGTGCCTATAGCCTTCACGATGCTCCCCGGATTTTCAGAGTGAATCTTGCTTGATCGTGCAAAGGGTCTAAAGTCACCCCGGGTCACGGTGAAGCATGCAGTGAGAGGGAGATGGAACAGGGAGGAAGACTTCTGTGAAAATCCCAGATCTAGTCCACTGTTTGCTGGATGGGCCCTCCTTCCCGGTGGGCATGGAACCATGTATTTATATCTCTGGTTTCCTGCCTTGGAGTTTTCTGCCTTTGGAAGAAGAGCGGCTTAGAGGGGTGACAGAGAAATGACCCGCAGGCCTGCATAAAGGATGTCCACACAGGCTCTCTTCTCCTGCAGATACCTGGAAGCTCAGGTTTCTTCCCTCAGCTTTGGGAAGAGAGGCTTTCAAGGCTTCAGCACCCAGGGCTGAGGTCCAGCTGCCGCAGCATGTCCTGCAGAGACCCCTGCAGCCTGCTCAGGGCCACCACCTCCGTGGAGTAGAGGGAGGCTTCCAGGACGCCGCCCAGGCTCTCCAAGGTCTCCAGGGCTCTGGCCTGGGGCAAGGGGCAGCTCTTGGAGGAGGCCAGCAGGTGGAGAAGGTCCCGGAGGTTCTCCAGGTCATTAGATATTTGGATCACATTTCTGGAAGGCAGACTGGTGAGGATCTGTTGGTAGATCGCCAATGTCTGGTCCATCTTGGACAAACTCAGGACAGGGGTGAGCCCAGGGATGAAGTCCAAACCAGTGACCCTCTGTTTGGAGGAGACGGACTGCTATGCAGGAGGAAGGGGAGAGCAAGAGCTCAGGGGAGAGAAGTCAGCTCCGCAAAGCCCCTGGCCCTTCCCGCGAGCGTGGAGGTGTCTCCTTTCCCCCTTCTGCACCATCCTGCCTAGGCCCTTATTTCTTGTGCCCGCGTGGCTGCCAAGCCTCCAAGCTGGTCTCCCGGGCTTCTGTCTTCCTGCCCTTCCCAAACCACCCTGCCTGCCCTCCACTTCCAGACCAGCTTTAGCAGGCCGTTTCCTCTTCCAGATGCCTCTGCTATAGAACCAGCCATGACTCCCTATTTCTTACTTACTGACTTAAGTCTCTTCCCCAGGCATTGAGGTCCTCCATACATGCCCCTCCCCAACCCTTCCACCCACAGCGGACGCCTTCCTCCCAGACAGGTTCTCCACGAAGTCTCACCCCCTTAGGGATCAAGGCCCCCGTCTCACTCCTCCGCTCCAATAACTCTGGTTACCAGGAGGGGTTCTCCCCCTCCCCCGCTGCCCGCAGCGCTCACTGCCTGCACCACACCTGTTGGGACGCTCGGGGTCTATCATGTGCAGCTTGTTGAATGACTATTTTGAAAGCAAGGAGACTTAAGCGTTTTTCCCTATGAAATGCTCAAGACGCTATCTAGTTCTGAGCTGTCCCTGCTTCCGGCCACCTAACGGCTCCCTGGCTGCCCAAGGCTACTGTTAGAAATCCAGAGAGGCCAGGAGATGTGGAAGTCTCTGGATTGCTCCATGCAGGTGAACAAGTTGGCTTTTAAGGCAGGGGGATATCAAAAGCCACGTCTGAAAACCTTTGAAGAGGGCATGCTCTGTTCTGGTTCTGCAGGAGGGGTGTGTGTGTGTGTGGCGGGTCACTTGCTTTATCTAATTTAATCTTGAAACGACCTTGTGAAGACTATTAAGGTAGTCCTCTTATCTAGATGAGGAAACCAGGGTTTAAAGACATTGAGGAGCTTAACTAGCTTAAGATTTTACAGATAGAGAACAGAAGGGCGAGGATTCACACATAGCCTTCCTAATTCTAAACACCGACCTCATCTGGGAAGTGGCTGAAGGTATAGGCTTGTGGACCCCAGAGAAAAGACCCAGGGGACATTGAGAGCTGTTTGCAAATACGTAGAGGGTTGTATGTGAAAGAGGGCTTGATAGGCAGGACCAGCAGTAATGAGGAGAAGCTTCACAGGGTCAGCGTTCAGCTACCAGCCAGGAAGAATGCCTAATGATTAGAACGTTCTAGAGATGTGTTGGAGGCCCAGAGAGGGTGCTGCTGGGGCTCTGGTCACCTGCCAAGGGAACACCAGACCATTATGCTCTGGTCCTGGGCACTAGGATTCCAGTCTGGGAGGAAGGGGAGTGAGGAGGTGGGAGGCAAGGGGAGATCAGGAGAGCAGAGGCAGCTGTCCATGCGGTAGGGAGGCGTCCAGGCTGCCAGGACCCTTGTGCGAGGCTGCACAGCCTCAGCCAACCTCTGAGGTCCGGTTTCCCCACGGGCCAGCCACAGTTCCACCTCGTCTCCCAGGCCCTCCCTACCGTGTGTGATATGTCATTGATCCTGGTGACAATCGTCTTGATGAGCGTTTTGGTGTCATCCTGGACTTTTCGGATGGGCACAGCTTCAATGTAGGACAGATAGGGCCAAAGCCACAGGAATCGGCACAGGGGTCCACAACGCATTTTTCTTCCCGGGATGTGCTTCTGGGGCCTGAAAACAGAAGGAACCACACGTGGCATGTCGCTGGGATCTCAGAGAACACCCACAGGTCACGTTACCAACCACATTCTCAGATGCGGATAAAAACGAGATTTGCTTTCTGCTTGTGGTTATCATTTCCTCAAAGACAATTCATTGTCTAGAAATACAGTAATGAAATGCATTCCCTTGGGGAAAGGCATGGCCGCATCAAGGAAACCACGGTGAGGTGTGCTGTAGACCACAGAGCAGGAAGACAGGGCATGAGTAAACGGACGGGCTTTTAAGGTATGGTTTGAATCCAGCCATTTACTAGCTTCATGACTTCAGGCATATCCTATAACCGCTAAAAACTCCTGCCTGCATCCCCTGCAATATACCTATCTCCAGGCTTTTATGAGGATCAAATTAGATAACGTGTGTGAAAGAGCTTTAAAGGTGTTGTGAGGACTATTACTACCCTATTATTAGAGATCGTGGTACTGTCCTCTCCATTAACTCTCTCACAGCAGCCCACTGATATTTCCTTGATGGCATTTATCACTGGCTTTATTACTTCCTTTCTCTCCCACTGGGAGCCTGAATCCAACCGACACTTATGGAAGGTCTGATAATACGTCAGATGCAGTGCTGGGTACCAAGGATGCCACAGTGGACAACGGATGTTCTCTACTCTCAAAGTGCTTACAGCTGAATAGGAGAGATAAACAGGTAAACAGGCCATCCCAATACAGGAAGAAAGAGCTCTGCAAGAAGGACAAGATATTGTGGGAATACAAAGGGGGGCTCCCTGGAAGAGGTGTCACCTGAGCTAGGTATTGAAGGCCAAGGAGGGATCAGGAAGAGTATAAACTGGTTGCATAAGTGGCCAAGAAAACAGCCGGTGCAAAGGCATGAAGGCAGGAGAAAGTATATAACACGTTCACCCAGAATGTCTGAAACTTTCAAAGTCATGGAACCATGGATTCTAACATTAATAATATGCATGCAGATCCTCGATTAAGCAGCAAAGTTTTAATGAGATACATGAGGCAAAAGGTAATCAGGTTAAAGGTATGTGAGCCTGTGGCCAATGATCCGTGCTAAGTATGTGTGGATAAGCCTGAAATAATGATCAAGAGTAATTAGTTAGCATGAAGGTCCTGGAGATGGCAAAAAAGTTCATCTCTGCTTTTTGTGTTCTGCCTCATCTGGGTCTTGATAAGAACAGGTAACACATTTTCTGTCCATAGGTGGCAATTTAGTATAATTCATATTCTGGCAATATAATAGAAATAAGCAGTCTTGGGAATTCCCTGGTGGTCCAGTGGTTAGGACTTGGTGCTTTCACTGTGGTGGCCCAGGTTCAATCCCTGGTTGGGGAACAAAGATCCTGCAGGCTGCACAGTGCAGGAAAAAAAAAAAAAAGTCTGTTTCTATATTATAATGTTTGATCAAAGGTATTTTTCAAAATTAATTAATTTGTTTTATGGCTGCGTTGGGTCTTCGTCGCTGTGCGCGGGCTTTCTTTTGTTGTGGAGCATGGGCTCTAGGTGCGCGGCCTTCAGTAGTTGTGGTGCACAGGCTTAGTTGCCCCGCGGCATGTGGAATCTTCCCGGAGCAGGGATCGAACCCATGTCCCCTGCATTGGCAGAGCAGATTCTCAACCACTGTGCCACCAGAGAAGTCCTGTTTTTTTTAATCTGAATTTTACCGAAGGGGAAAAATGAGACTCAAGAAGACGTGCTAACTTGTCCAAAGTCAAACAAGTAAGCGGCAAAGCCAGGATTCACAGCCAAAGCTGCTTCACCAAGAAAGGCTGGGCGCTTTCTACCCTACCCCACCAGTTTCTCCAAGCTTTAAGGGAAAGCCCAAATTACAAGGCACTCCAATGACCAACCAAGGGCAGCTCCTGAGACCATGGCATTCGGGAAAAAATACCCTGCTCTATTCTAGGATGAAGCTATGAGATTGTACCCCTGTATCAACTTCATGTATGAAAAATACTAAGTAATTCGGGAGGGGGCATGTCAAATGTTTTTGTGCTTGTTCTCTCTCCTAAAAAGTTAATACTGCTTCTATTAACTCCTTATTCCCTGAGTAAACATGCCCACCAAATGTTTGAGGAATGGAGTTAAATAGTGCTAACCCCTCAGTGTGATTCCATGAAACCCTAGCAAAGGTGGAAGCACTGTGGTTAGGCCCCAAAGCTTCATCAGTGGGCTCTGCCCTTATTAGCTGTGTGTATCTGGGCAAGATATTTAATTCCCTAAAGCATCGGTTCCCATCAGTAAAATGGAATGAATCACACCACCTGGCTCAAAGGTTAATTGAAATGAACCTGTAAAGCCCCTGCCCATTGTGTGTGTGTGTGTGTGTGTGTGTGTGTGTGTGTGTGTGTGTGTGTGTGTGTGTGTGTGTGTGTAGGGTTGGGGAGGGTTGGGGGCAGGGGGAGTAAATATTGTGTAGTTACTCAGCAGGGCTTGGAATGCTCTGGCAGCACTACCTGTAGCCAACCCTGAATCTAGCATTAGGCCCATCGCCTCGCCTGGGCCATCTCAAGAGGGTGCCTGGTATTTCTGGGTCCTCCCCCTGCAGCACAAGATAGAGTGGTAAACTTTTCTAGGATTCATGTGTTAATGACACCCTCCTTCCCAAGAGAATTTATTACCAGATTAACTCTGGTCATAGTCACTCTCACATAATGGCCACCCTTTAATACCTGAGTGGAAAAACAGTTTTACTAGCCCCCTCTATCACCATGGATAATATGCTTCAGTGGGCGCTGAAAATAAATCATAGTTCCTTGAAACGTGGAATTGAGGAACTGCTGCTGAGCAAGTCTGCCTAAGAGGAGAGGCCAGGGTTAGGGGAGCTCCCTGGGGGCGGGCTGCAGAGAGAACTCGTAACAGGCCCATTTGAGATCAAAGTGATGGGGAGACCCTGGCCAACAGGCACACACAACATGAAACACACATGCTCACACATATAACACATCATATGCATACACACACATATCAACATATTAACCCTTTTAGTAAAGGCTGGTGATTGTCTCCAGTACCTATTGCCTCTTCGCAATTAGTAGAACATCCAGGTTTAGATAGAGGTGTGGCCATTCAGAATAAATACTATATTTCCCAGCTGGTGTGGCGATGCGACTAAATTCTGGCCAGCTGAATATAAGCAGAAATGCGATGTGGCAGTTCTTGTGCTGTGTGCTTCTGCCCCTCCCTTTTCCATCCCTTCCTCCATCCTGATGCCTGAATTGTGGTTGTGGCAGCTGGCATTCTGGTGCTTCTTGGGTCATGAGGACGAGGGCCTTACCGTATGAACACTGGAGTAGGGAGCTGGAGGGGGCCAGGTCCCTGAGGACTTGCTGCAGGCGAGATGACATGCATGGACCACCTACCTCTGAACTTGTACTGAGTGTGTGAGAGACATAACCTCTGTCTTGGTTAAGACACTGTTATTTTGGGTCTCTGCTAAGTGCAGCCAAACTTAATGCTAATTAATTTATACACCCAGACACGGGCAGACATCAATTTTTCTTGGTTCACCTGAATGTCAGTACCTGGGTGGGGCCTGGCGGTGGCCCGAGATTTTGGGTTTGGGGGGAAGGTAAGAGCAGGGTTTGGGGATTGGTAGGGGAGGGATAATCCAAGACAGCAACTACAGCTTCACTGAGCACAGCACCTGACACATACTAGTTACTTAACATCTGTTTGATGGTTGACAGCTAACATGTATTGATCGCCCACTGGGGGCCAGGGACAGAGATAAAGACACATGCAGTCGCAGAAAAGTGGGATCAGGAGTGGGGACAGTCGGGGCTGAAGACTGGTGGTTCTCCCAGGAAGCCCAGGTAGTACACCACAGTATTCGGCGTTGTTAACTACTTACATATATTATTTGTTAAAAATAAAAGTAAAGAGCAAAACTGTGCTCTTAAACAACTGGTTTAAGAATTTACCTAATTAACTACAATGCAAGGAATAATGTTTAAAGAGATAAAATGCCTTGGATAACTCAGGGGAGGAAGTCGTGTGTAAACTTATGAGCTCTAAAGCTGAGCTATGTTTCAGTTGGAGCATAGGACCTTGGGAAAATTTGCTAACCTCTTGCAGACTCAGTTTTCTTAGCTGTAAAGTGGGGATGAAACAAGTCATAATTCCCATCTGTGGCTGAAATGAGATAATGTATGTAGAATGCTTGCTCTGTGCCTGGCACGTGGCCAATCCCAATACATGTTAGCTGTTGTCAGCATTATTTCCAGCTAGGGAATCAAGGAAACATCTTGGAGGAGGTGGCGTTTAATAAGGGCCCTGAGAATGGGGGGGAATGGGTTTGTGAATGTGGAGGAGAGGGGCACCCGCAGCAGAGGTCTCAGAAGATGGTGGCTCTCAGCTGGCACAGGAGGTGTGATGGGGGGACAGGGAGGGGTGGGGCTGTGCCACCTTGGCTGTGCAGGGAGGCCAAGCTATTTCTGTGGAAGTGAGGAGCTCTGATCCCTCCCAGGCTAATGCTTTCAGCACAGGTGACAAAAAGGACAGAGATGAAAATTGGGAAAGGCCACCCACCCACTTCTCCCCAGAGCAGCTTGCCTCCGCCTTCCCCAAGAAGCTGGCCGCCTCCAGACGTGAGCTCCCTCACCTCCCCTCTTGTCCTGGGGGATGCAGCTGACGAAGTGGGGGCCTCTATGCCAAGGTGGCGGGGGGGGCGCTTCTCTAGATTCAGGCTAGAAGGTTGGCTGGCCCCAGGGCAGGCCTGCCCACAGCCTTTGGATTCCAGCAGTCAGAGGGGAGGTGGGGAGAGCTCTGGGTCACAGAGGCCTTTGCTGGTGGAGGCTGCCAGCTTTGAGCTATCCAAACTCCTCTGTCTTCTCCCGGTAGAAAGTATCAGAGGTTAGTAAGGGCACAACCTTCTCTCTTCCTTCTTCTCTTCTCCAGCCATCAGGTTTTTATACCTCTCTCTCCAGTAGCCTTTGGTATGCTACTGTGAATTAAATTCAGGTGATGTGGTGTTTA